GACCCCTACCCTGCCTTCCTTCCACTACAGACTGATACACTCTTGAAGTCACTCTGTTTCGCTCCATTCTCTCTACATGTCCGAACCACCTCAACAACCCTTCCTCAGCCCTCTGGACAACAGTTTTGGTAATCTCGCACCTCCTCCTAACTTCCAAACTACGAATTCTCTGCATTATATTCACACCACACATTGCGCTCAGACATGACATCTCCACTGCCTCCAGCCTTCTCCTTGCTGCAACATTCATCACCCATGCTTCACACCCATATAAGAGCGTTGGTAAAACTATACTCTCATACATTCCCCTCTTTGCCTCCAAGGACAAAGTTCTTTGTCTCCACAGACTCCTAAGTGCACCACTCACCCTTTTCCTCTCATCAATTCTATGATTCACCTCATCTTTCATAGACCCATCCGCCGACACGTCCACTCCCAAATATCTGAATACATTCACCTCCTCCATACTCTCCCTCCAATCTGATATCCAATCTTTCATCACCTAATCTTTTTGTTATCCTCATTACCTTACTCTTTCCTGTATTCACTTTTAATTTTCTTCTTTTGCACACCCTACCAAATTCATCCACCAATCTCTGCAGCTTCTCTTCAGAATCTCCCAAGAGCACAGTGTCATCAGCAAAGAGCAACTGTGACAACTCCCACTTTATGTGTGATTCTTTATCTTTTAACTCCATGCCTCTTGCCAAGACCCTCGCATTTACTTCTCTTACAACCCCATCTATAAATATATTAAACAACCATGGTGACATCACACATCCTTGTCTAAGGCCTACTTTTACTGGGAAATAATTTCCCTCTTTCCTACATACTCTAACTTGAGCCTCACTATCCTCGTAAAAACTCTTCACTGCTTTCAGTAACCTACCTCCCACACCATACACCTGCAACATCTGCCACATTGCCCCCCTATCCACCCTGTCATACGCCTTTTCCAAATCCATAAATGCCACAAAGACCTTTTTAGCTTTATCTAGCTGTATAGTCCTTGTGGCTTGGCGCTTCTTTTCTGATTATAATAATAATTAGCTTTATCTAAATACTGTTCACTTATATGTTTCACTGTAAACACCTGGTCCACACACCCCCTACCTTTCCTAAAGCCTCCTTGTTCATCTGCTATCCTATTCTCTGTCTTACTCTTAATTCTTTCAATAATAACTCTACCATACACTTTACCAGGTATACTCAACAGACTTATCCCCCTATAATTTTTGCACTCTCTTTTGTCCCCTTTGCCTTTATACAAAGGAACTATGCATGCTCTCTGCCAATCCCTAGGTACCTTACCCTCTTCCATACATTTATTAAATAATTGCACCAACCACTCCAAAACTATATCTCCACCTGCTTTTAACATTTCTATCTTTATCCCATCAATCCCGGCTGCTTTACCCCTTTTAATTTTACCTACTGCCTCATGAACTTCCCCCACACTCACAACTGGTTCTTCCTCACTCCTACAAGATGTTATTCCTCCTTGCCCTATACACGAAATCACAGCTTCCCTATCTTCAACAACATTTAACAATTCCTCAAAATATTCCCTCCATCTTCCCAATACCTCTAACTCTCCATTTAATAACTCTCCTCTCCTATTTTTAACTGACAAATCCATTTGTTCTCTAGGCTTTCTTAACTTGTTAATCTCACTCCAAAACTTTTTCTTATTTTCAACAAAATTTGTTGATAACATCTCACCCACTCTCTCATTTGCTCTCTTTTTACATTGCTTCACCACTCTCTTAACCTCTCTCTTTTTCTCCATATACTCTTCCCTCCTTGCATCACTTCTACTTTGTAAAAACTTCTCGTATGCTAACTTTTTCTCCCTTACTACTCTCTTTACATCATCATTCCACCAATTGCTCCTCTTCCCTCCCACACCCACTTTCCTGTAACCACAAACTTCTGCTGAACACTCTAACACTACGTTTTTAAACCTACCCCATACCTCTTCGACCCTATTGCCTATGCTCTCATTAGCCCATCTATCCTCCAATAGCTGTTTATATCTTACCCTAACTGCCTCCTCTTTTAGTTTATAAACCTTCACCTCTCTCTTCCCTGATGCTTCTATTCTCCTTGTATCCCATCTACCTTTTACTGTCAGTGTAGCTGCAACTAGAAAGTGTTCTGATATATTTGTGGCCCCTCTATAAACATGTACATCCTGAAGTCTACTCAACAGTCTTTTATTTACCAATACATAATCCAACAAACTACTATCATTTTGCCCTACATCATATCTTGTATACTTATTTATCCTCTTTTTCTTAAAATATGTATTACCTATAACTAAACCCCTTTCTATACAAAGTTCAATCAAAGGGCTCCCATTATCATTTACACCTGGCACCCAAAACTTACCTACCACACCCTCTCTAAAAGTTTCTCCTACTTTAGCATTCAGGTCCCCTACCACAATTACTCTCTCACTTGGTTCAAAGGCTCCTATACATTCACTTAACATCTCCCAAAATCTCTCTCTCTCCTCTATATTCCTCTCTTCTCCAGGTGTATACACGCTTATTATGACCCACTTTTCGCGTCCAACCTTTACTTTAATCCACATAATTCTTGAATTTACACATTCATATTCTCTTTTCTCCTTCCATAACTGATCCTTCAATATTACTGCTACCCCTTCCTTTGCTCTAACTCTCTCAGATACTCCAGATTTAATCCGATTTATTTCCCCCCACCGAAACTCCCCTACCCCGTTCAGCTTTGTTTCGCTTAGGGCCAGGACATCCAACTTCTTTTCATTCATAACATTATCAATCATCCGTTTCTTGTCATCCGCACTACATCCATGCACATTCAAGCATCCCAGTTTTATAAAGTTTTTCTTCTTCTCTTTTTTAGTAAATGTCTACAAGAGAAGGGGTTACTAGCCTATTGCTTCCGGCATTTTAGTCGCCTCATACGACAAGCATGGCTTACGGAGGAAAGATTCTTTTCCACTTCCCCATGGACAATAGAAGAAATAAAGAAGAACAAGAGCTATTTAGAAAAAGGAGAAAAACCTAGATGTATGTATATATACATGCATGTGCGTGTCTGTGAAGTGTGACCAAAGTGTAAGTAGGAGTAGCAAGATATCCCTGTTATCTAGCGTGTTTATGAGAAAGAAAAAGAAACCAGCAATCCTACCATCATGCAAAACAGTTACAGGTTTCTGTTTCACAGTCATCTGGCAGGACGGTAGTACTTCCCTGGGTGGTTGCTGTCTACCGACCTACTACCTTTTCTAAATCCATAAATGCAATTAAAAATTTCCCTACCTTTATCTAAATACTACTCACATATATGCTTCAATGTAAACACTTGATCTACACATCAACTACCCACTCTAAAACCTCATTGCTCATCCGCAAATCTACATTCTGTCTTACCTCTAATTCTTTCAATAATAACCCTACCGTACACTTTTCCTGGTATACTCAGTAAACTTATTCCTCTATAATTTTTACAATCACTTTTGTCCCCCTTCCCTTTATATAAAGGGACTATACACGCTCTCTGCCAATCCCTAGGTACCTTCCCCCCTTTCATACATTTATTAAACAAAAATACCAACCATTCCAACGCTATGTCCCCCCCTGCTTTAAACATTTCTGCCATAATCCATCAGTTCCAGCTGCTTTACCCCCTTTCATTCTACGTAATGCCTCACGCACGTCCCCCACACTCACATCCTGTTCTTCTTCACTCCTAAAAGATGGTATACCTCCCTGGCCAGTGCATGAAATTACCCCCTCCCTTTCTTCGTCGACATTTAAAAGTTCCTCAAAATATTCTCGTCATCTACCCAAAACCTCCATCTCCCCATCTACTAACTCCCCTACTCTGTTTTTAACTGACAAATACATTTGTTCCCTAGGCTCTCTTAACTTGTTTAACTCACTCCAAAATTTTTTCTTATTTTCATTAAAATTTCTTGACAGTACCTCTCCCACTCTATCATCCGCTCTCCTTTTACACTCTCTCACCACTCTCTTTACCTTTCTTTTACTCTCCATATACTCTGCTTTTCTTATAACACTTCTGCTTTGTAAATACCTCTCATAAGCTACCTTTTTCTCTTTTATCACACCCTTTACTTCATCATTCCACCAATCACCCTCTTTCCTCCTGCACCCACCCTCCTATAACCACAAACTTCTGCCCCACATTCTAATACTGCATTTTTAAAACTATTCCAACCCTCTTCAACCCCCCCACTACTTATACCTGCACCAGCCCACCTTTCTGCCAATAGTTGCTTATATTTCACCCGAACTTCCTCCTCCCTTAGTTTATACACTTTCACCTCCCTCTTACTTCTTGTTGCCATTTTCCTCTTATCCCATCTGCCTCTTATTCTAACTGTAGCTACAACTAGATAATGATCCGATATATCAGTTGCCCCTTTATAAACGTGTACATCCTGGAGCCTACCCATCAACATTTTATCCACCAATACATAATCTAACAAACTACTTTCATTACGTGCTACATCATACCTTGTGTATTTATTTATACTCTTTTTCATAAAATATGTATTACTTACTACCAAACCTCTTTCTACACATAGCTCAATTAAAGGCTCCCCATTTTCATTTACCCCTGGCACTCCAAATTTACCTACTACTCCCTCCACAACATATTTTCCCACTTTAGCATTAAAATCTCCAACCACAAGTACTCTCACACTTGGTTCAAAACTCCCCACGCATTCACTCAACATTTCCCAAAATCTCTCTCTCTCCTCTATACTTCTCTCTTCCCCAGGTGCATATACATTTACTATAACCCACTTCTCACATCCAACCTTTATTTTACCCCACATAATTCTTGAATTAATACATTTATAGTCCCTCTTTTCCTGCCATAGCTTATTCTTCAACATTATTGCCTTATATTGAAATATTTCCAGTTGTATTTCAAAAATTTTAGTAACTTTTAAACATTTGAAATTATGTATTTTTTTGCAGGTACATGCAATTGGTCCTGAGGGAGGTATGGTGTCATCGACAGTGGTGCCTCAGGTCCAGGCGGTGTTCCCTCAGGGAGCTCTGACAAAGAAGATCAAAGTGGGACTCCAGGTAAACCTCTTCAAGCCACGCAAAAACCACACAGGACCCATGAAAAAGATTAGCGTCAATAATATTCCCAAGAAGAAGCGTTTTAGTCTTATTTGGTGAAGTAGTTAACATTGTCAGGGTTCAGAAGAAATTCAGGGCAAAGTTAGCATATTTTGATTCCCTTTAAAATATTTGCATTTCTGCAGTTGCTTGTCATTGCTATGCATATACTTATAATGTTCTCTGAATTTTAGTTTTCAATCATTTAGACTACTACAAATATTGTTATAATACTATCGAGGTAAATATTAATCGGGAGTAGCATATTGATTGGTTAAGGAGATAGTTGGCTGAAGAAGTTTCTTATGCCTATTGCCAAATTAAATTCAAGTGTAATAGTTTCACATATAAACACAATCATATAAATCTAGTTATTACTAAAGAAATTTTTCTTAGAGACATTATACTGCAACTCAGGAAGCTTATGTAAATACTTAGGCATTTTATTACTTTTATGCCATATTTGTAGTTCACTCGAAGTAGTGTATTAAGGTCATAATTAAAGGGTTGGATACTACACACTCAGAAATTACATTACATTAGATAATTAAATATAATTGGTAATGCTCTTCTTCAGTTAGTTTTTTATTTTGGTATAGTATACTGTACAGTATGGCAGTGTTGAATTATCTTTTCTTTTTATATTGTATATTGATTGCATTTAAATTATTTTTACTTCGTACAATTTGCTAGTTGTAAGACATTAAACATTAAGCATAAATTCTAGTCAGTGCGATCTCATCACTTCGACAAAATTTAATATTGCGGTTAGAAATTAGGCATTTGACGTGCCTAATGAAAGTAATTTCATGTGCTTTTTTATCATTATTACTGAAGCTTTTTATTTGCAGTATTTTAATTTATTTTAATCGGGTATATGCATGATTTTGGTTTGCATGAGTCTGGTTTTGCTTCTGGGAATAGAAAAGTTAGTTAATATTTTCCATTGAATTTTATTTGAATTTTTTCTGTGTGCTTTTGATTTCATAATTTATTAATTTATTTTAATTGCTATATAAAAATAGATTTTGAGGTTTATAGCAGGATGCTGTATATTGATTTAGTTAAATAAAAATAGTGACCAGATTAATAGTGTGTGTATGCAAGATCGAAAAAGAAAACAATAGAGATAACAAGCCAGTTAGAAAAATTAGTTTGGAGGTTTGGTAGGTTGTAGCCTCTGATTTAGGTTAGTTATATTTCCAGTCGTACAAGTATTACACTTGGTCCCACTGACAATATCTCACAGAAATGATAGTTCTTGTCATTCTGCAGAGTCCTTAGTTCCACTACATTTTTTCTCTTCATTGGTACATACATCATAAACATTAACAAAAGCAGACTGTCTTGAATATTGACAATAATTCTTAAAGAAATATAATAATGTGTATAGTATTTGAAAATCTCTGATACTGTGCTGTGATATAAATATGAAATATTCATCTTTTAACTTGTAAATGTCTACTCACACAAGAAAATATAAATGGAGCTTTTTTCCATTGATCACAAACTGGTACTGAAGACAGTGATGATGTGTAACTAGAGCTCTGTAGTGTGTGAGAATGACTTATCTCTTTGGTCTTTCTATGCAGCAGAGAGACTATAAGGCTAGAAACTTAATGCACTGTAGAAAAGGTTGAACTCTTGAATTTATACTGTATTATCAAAAGTTCAATACAGTATTCTAATTTAATACTTACATTAATATTATGATCTTCAAGAAAATTATCTGTAAAAAGGCTTGTAAATAGATAATGAATTCTAGCACCTTTAAACAAGTGCATGAGTTGCATTTGACGCTATTGCTGTAGAATCACAAATTTGTTCACACTATTGAGACAGACAGTTATGACACAACCATTCTTAACATTACTCACAATCTATTATTACAACCCAGAGCCCATATTGTAGGGAGCCTAAATGTGATGAGACTAGTAATTAGGCCTTGCATTAAACTTCAGTAATACTTATTTAGTAAATTTATTTTGCTTAAGTTAAGTCTTATTGTAGTATGCCAAGGCCTGACTACTGATAACCTCACAACCATTTACTGCCTTTTTGAGAACAATTATTTTTATATGTAGTACAGTATTAATATCCATAGTATTTACTGTAGACTTTGTCCTTCAGTTGTATAGCAAAGTTCACCCATTCCAATTGAAAGTGTGATAAGTGCATCTAGATTAATCAGTCTAAAAAAATAGAACACAAAAAGACTTTTTTGTATAGTCTTCAGTAGTAGATAGTAATATGTTGTATGATGATCTGATTGTAGCTTAAGATGTAGGAGGTGATTTGTAATTTTTAATGATCTCAGTGCACAAAAATATTTATATAACATTCTTTGTAAGTTGAATCTCATTTCTTTTTCGTGAAGAAAATTTATACTTAAATTTAACTACAAAAAAAAAAAAAAAACACCAGCTATTTCCCTGTAGTATCATAGTTTAAATTTGGTGATAGTCTGTGGAAGACATTGATGTCCCCTCTTGTTACTTTAATAATGATGTGAATATTATAGAATGTGCAATATTGCCTTACATTATATATAAGTTGTCATTATCTTCCATATGCTCCACATATACTAGAGTACAGACCAGCCTTGTGGTACCCTCTTTCTCTGGCATCATTTTCAACTGGTTGAACCACACCAGTCTCTTGTAATTTTATCGTGATACTGTGACTTTTTCCATGTACTGTGCTGCAGTGATTTTGTTTCCTCTGTATCATTGTGTAAGTTATCAATTTCTGCTTTTTTTTTTTTTTTTTTTTTTTTTGACTTAACTGCAAGTTTCTAAACTTGAGTAATTATTTTAATATTTTTCTGTGATATTCTAATTTTATTAGCTATTATATTTCAATGACTAAAGAAATTTAAATTCAGTTGGAATATAGGCAAATCAATTGAATTGTGTACTTTAATGTTTGTATATGAAAATGTTTCATTCTTTAAAAAATAGAGGCTTGGGGTTGCCATTTGGTGAATGCAGGTAAGGAAGGTACCCACAGACAGTTGCAAATACCTCACAGCTTTTAATATAATTTCAAGCAGCTGAGGGACTCATTAAGATTAGCATGTAGCTGTTCCTGGTTTTGTAACTGTGTGTCAAATTTTCTGGAGTCACATGAGATGAAAGGATTTAATTAATTTTATGAAAAATAAGTTTTACTTAAGTAGGTAAGGCAAAACAGAGGCTTTTTTTTTTTTATAAATCATGAAGATCTCAGAGTGACAGTTTAGAAATTTGACTGGTGGCTCGATGAGGATTGTGCAGTTCGTGTGGATCTGCTATGTCATTGTCGAAGATGAGGTTAATTTATTAGCTAACTTGTCTTCTTTTTGCTTAGCTAACTATTGGCTTACTAATAACTGCAGCACAAACTAACATATGTTAGCTAGTTTGTACCACAGTCTTGGAAAAAATGCCCAATAAACTTAGTTTAACGCAAGTGGCATGAAGTTTGTTTTCACCAACTCGCCTGAACATGTGTGTAATGTGCAGTTAGCAAGGTTCGATGAAACAGCATTGGATGGGTTCATCAACACTAGATAATAAGATTGTGGATTTTTGAGGAACATTCAGTAACTTAGAAATTTTATTTTGGGTACACTGGACCTTGTAGTAACATTTGTAGCAACCACAGTTCAACTGATTTTATTGGGCTTTTGTACCACCTATTCTTCTCCTAATGCTCTGTGCTCTGTGTGCTTCTTGTCTTGTTTGTTTGCCAGCTGCCTTGTTCGTCCATGCTGTGTCGAGCCTCGCTCATGCTGCTGGGTTACATGTACCTCTTATCAGTCAAATTTTGTTAATATTTTCACAAGGATATTTACAAATTCTTTTGAAAATTTACTTGCAAATAATCTAGGTAAATATCCAGATATTTAATAATTTTTTAATAATTATAATAAAGTGCATGAACTTTCATAGAAATCACTCAGATTTTAACAATAGCTTAGCAAAATTTGACTAGTATACTAACCTTTGGTTGGGGAAAGTCTGACAGTTTAGTAAATAAAGCTGGAAAAAACTAAAATGAAAGCATTGCATTTAGTGTTGCATTAGACAAAATTAGTCAGTACAGGTCACTTGTAAATTGATAATTCAGCTATGCCCTGATAATTTCAATAATGTAGTTGAAAATCAAAAAACTGTCAAAAACACTGCGCAGCATTTTAAGTTTGCAATAGACTTTCTTTGAAATATAATTATACAAATAATTATATAAATTACATTTAAAAACTAAATTATGAAGAATAACTTGGAGCAGTACAATTAAAGGTACAGGAAATAGATTGGCTGGCTGCAATTAAGCATAATAGTTTTCATTTTTTTTTTTAAAGCAATTTATTCTTTAATTTACTTTGCCACAAAGCAGCACCCTGAATTCTTTTCCTTATGGGATATCAAAGAATTTCAAAATTAAGTTATAACTGGTTACTTTTAATATTTTAATCTCTTTTTTTTCTGTTCTCATCAGAAATGCTACATTTTTTGTGGCACTCTCAGACTTATATTATTTTAATATAATTTTATTGCAGTAAGAAAATTTAACTGTATAGCAATTTATATATGCATATGATCAGAAACATTTGAATATTGACAAGTACTTTAGATGATGTAGATACAGATATATTATGATAGTGCCTTGTGTCTTGAAAGGTAAGATAGCATGTAACATGTAGAAGGGCGGATGATAAATGCTTCGAACCAGAGGCATTCATAATTACCAGTTGAGATTAGTTTATATAGTACATATTTCAGGTGCTTATTTTCTCTAGTGAAACCTCAGCATGTAGTTATTAGAGACTTACTGGGATCTGTGTATCTTTTTGCACACATACAGAATTTTACCACAATGAAAAAAAGATAGATTTCAAGAGCTTTTGTGATATATTCTCAAGGAATGTAGTATCTGTTATAGATAGTTTGGAACACCTACAAGTTAAAGAATGAGACTGGGAATCTTTATTTTGTAAATGTTTCACCAGTCACTGGCTGGCAAAATGTTTCCTCAATAAAGATTCCCAAATGTTGCACAAGTATCTCATTCTTCAGTGTAGTATCTGTATCACTCAGGCACCTACTATCCATAGAGCGTGAGCCGCCAGGAGGTAGGTTGAATAACTGGTAAATTTTGATGCTAGGCTAAAGAACCCTTTCCCATTAGAAAAGTGAAGGGAGGAAGCTCAGCACCCTCTGACTCAGTCCGCACCATAATTGCATTAGATAGACCCTTCATTCCATTTTTTATAATAATAACAATAATAATAATAATAATAATAATAATAATAATAATAATAATAATAATAATAATAATATCTTTATTTACTACAAGGACATGTACAAGGTATACAGGCTTAGCTATCATCAATGACAAACTACTATACAGAAATCCCTTGTTATGCTGAGCATTTTGGGCAAATTAGGTCGGTTTTGTTCCAGGATGTGACCCACACCAGTCAACTAACATTCAGGTACCCATTTTACTGATGGGTGAACATAGACAAC